AACTTTTATTTATCCTCACACCTGCATCATCATTTATTTTTAGAGCTCTCTTAACCTGTAAACTAATGTTTCTATTACTACGAAACATCCTTGTTTTGGTTAGATTAAGTGAATGAAAATGCTTATCATTTACGGACATAATATATTATAGACCTTCTTTTAATGCAACTATTATCCATGCATGACATATAGGATGAGTTTTAATTTCTGTTGATATAGGAGAAACATACTTACCCGTCCTTGCACATCCCAACATGAAGTAGCGTAATTGGTTATTGGGCCCTTTCTTCGAACTTCTATTTTTTATTCCAAAACCTTTTTGTATAGTATATTGTCGATAGAATGACTTAATTGCATCTGCACTCTCAAAACACATCCTCATACCTTAAACCCTAAACTATCATATTATTCTATAATTGTCACATTTGCATTAATGACTACTTCATCATTTGGAACCAACAATTCTTCATCTACACATCGAAGAAAACTATTACATTGCTCTATAGTTGTTACATTTGCATTAGTAGGTACCTCATCATGTATAATCAATATTTCTTCAGTTATATGTACATGACTATTTTCACTGACATCTCCCACTGATTATAGATTAATGTTATAATCTCTATTATTAAAAAAAACACTAACTTATATAACTTAGAAATGTTGACACCAATACAAAAATGAAAAATGATTTACTGAAACATTGGTTATTAAAAAAAATTATATTTGTACTAACCTAACTTGTTTTATAAACAAGTTAATACATAAACAAATCACAAATTGGTTCTTCCCGCATATAATGAACAATGCAAAAGTGACGAAGTACCTTCTTTTCTTGGACAAGTCTCATATTAATCCACTAGATAATATTTCATTTAAGTTGACATGACTTGGGTAAGGAGATGATGACTTTCTTGATGTTTGTTCCACACAGAGGCTGGATTTTGTTTTTAGGTTTTTAGGACTAGAGAAACGAGTGACTGAGATTGCATTGTGAAAAGTGCAGTAAGGGTATTTTCATAAAAAACTCATTCAGTACATTTGCATCTTGTCACAAAGAGATACATGTTTAGTTCTACAAGCCAAAAAACATACTCCAGAGCAAGATCTTCAGATCTACAAACTAAACCACATACAGACTAACAAACATGTATGTGCAAACCAAAATATACCTATATATATGCCTTTGTGTGTGACGGTACACTGTTAGTTTGCTTTATAGAATAAAATGTTAAGTATGTGTTTAGATATAATAATATGTATGTTTTTACTTGTCATTTCAATCTTGAGTTTTTTGTTTAAGTTATCCAATGAAACCTTGGGAAAGACTGAACATTGATACCACATACCTTCTTGCGTTTATACGTGCTTATAATTCCAAATCATCCATAGTTTTAGGTCTGGCTGCCACTGTTCAAGCTGTTATGAATTATTGCATTTCTGATGAACCCATACCCATTCAAGAATTTGTTTGGTGTATAGTTGAAGAAAGTGATGATCAGATTTCAATAGCAATCATTGACAATGAGCTCTTATATTTATAAGAGTTCATGGTGACGTTTTGCAACATAATCCTTTCATTTAAAGTTTCCATTTTAAGTCATTCATTGACTTTATTTATTTATAGGATTGTTACATGAACATGATAATATACACGAAACAACTTTAAGCACTATGAAGTGTATTGATAGAACTTTGTTGGTCACAGACGTGGTTAAATCTTGTAGCCTAATGATCCAGGAGACATGACAATGAGGTCCACCCATAACTTGGTTCTGAGGATTATAGTGGACGCTAGGACCATTAGTTCTAAAGACACTTTGTAATGCATGTAGAGTGACATATATATTAGTTTGGCTGATAGCACAATATAGGTCACAAAACAGTTATTCCCTACTTTTTTATCTAGTTTTATTCAAATTCCAACAATAATGCATTTACTCTTAAATTTCTACTGAACACCAAACAATCATTAATCTTTTATATACTTTCATTACTCTTTTCCTAATTTCAAACCTTTCATACTCTCATTTCATCAACAAACACACAATTCATATAAAAACTAACACAAAATTCATACAAAATAAAATGTCCAAATGATATCATTTCAAAACTCCAATATACACGCTTAGCATCAATGTTAGTTTTATCATAAGACACAATTCAAACAACATCCAAAAACAAACAAAAACATTTCTTGTACTTTTCTCTGTATTTCATATTTTTTAATTATTTTCTATATCATTTCACTTTTAGATCTTATTATTCCAAATATATCGTTTCTTTTTGTCCAAACATACATTATTCCTATAAATATTGAAATCAACATCAAATTTCCTTCCGACATAGAACTTTGCCTACTAAGTTTATTTTAAATTTTTCTCTCACCAATTTTTTATCCATTAAGATTAAAATGGAAGGGATTGCGGCAAATTGCTTCAATATGATTTTGCTAATCTTGTGTTTCACCAATTTGGGGATAGTTTTGGATTATGGTCATATGGACAAATTTGGGGAACAATCACTGGTAAAACATTCAAACACAATAATTTCAAAATCTCACAATTCATACAACATCAAGCATTATTCTACCATGTTTATCAACCACACAACACTAAACAATGTAGAAACTAGACCTATATTTCAGAGAGAGACACAAAATTGTGTCAAATATTCAACTATATAACAGAGAGAGGGACACAAAATTGTACCAAATATTCAAAGAGATAACAAAATCAAAACTTTGACACTATGCACGCTCTTCTTTGCTTGACACTATGTCAGAGATGACCACTAGGCATGGCAACGGGGCGGGGCGGGGGCGGGTTTGCCTCCCCCGTCCCCGTCCCCGACTTTTTTAACCATTCTCGTCCCCGTCCCCGTCCCCGATCCCCGCCGGGGTTAGGAATTAAGTCCTCATCCCCGTCCCCGCTGGGTTTCGGGTTCTTCGCCCCGCCCGTCCCCGATTTATATTATTTTTAAAAAGATAATTATATTTATAATAAATTAATTTTACTATGTATTTTTATATATAAATAAATATTTATAATTTATAGTTATTATTAATTAAATATACATTGTAATTTATTATATTTATATTAAAATATATATGTAAAAGAAATATTTAATTATTTTTTATTTATATATATATATCTAATATTTATAACATTATTATTATTATTATTATAATATCTGTATTCAAATATTTGAATATTTATAACATTATTATTATAATACTGTATTCAAATATTTAAATATACATATAAGTTAATTCATTTTTAAGTTGTCAATATATAGTTTATAAGAAAATATTTAATAAGTTAATTCTTATTTAATTAGTTTGAAGTAATAAAAGTTTAAATTATTAATTTCTTTTAATCCTTTAAAATGCAATTATTTTATTAAGATAAAATTTGATATATGATAAATAAGCATAATAAGATAAAAAAATATGACATAATAAATATAAATTATAAATAAACTAATATTAGTTACTACTAAGATTGATGTAAAATATTTAAAAAAAGATAAAGAAAAAAAGATTAACTTTGTGTTCATCAAATTGGTTGAAAAGATTGAAAAAAAACAAATTGATGGGAGAAATTAAGAAAATGTGAAAAACTCAAAGATAAGGGAGAGAATAATATAATAAATTAATTGATATAAAATATTGAAAAAGATAAAAAAAATTAAAAAGTAGATAGAAGAAAAATAAAAATTGGTGAAATATAAAAAAAATAATCTTATATGTAATAGAAAAAGAAAATGAAATATTTTAAAATATTAATATTTTAAAATTTAAATTTAAATATAAAGTCGAGCAGGGACGGGGATGGGGTCGGGGTGGGGATTGCATTACCCATCCCCGCCCCGTTCTCGACTTTTAAAGCGAAGAAAACCCGAACTCGACCCCGTCTCCGGTCAACTCGGGTTTTCCCCGTCAAACTCGGAGCGGGGACGGGTCGGTCCCCACGGGTACGGGTTTAATTGTCCTCCCTAATGACCACGGTATCAGAAAAAGCTCCAACTTTGTCGCACTCAGATGGAGAATCTGCTAGGGAAGGGTTTTGAGGGTTAACAAATCTAGGGACTTCTATTTCTCTTTTGTTTCTTTCACACTACGAAGAAGACCAAGTTGCACTCGGTTGAGAGTTGCAAACATATTTCACCTTCAACCTGGAAAGAGTGAGAAGAACACTAGCAAGAGAATGTGTTTCGCTCGAAAAATGTGTTTCACTCATTCACAAATCTAGGGATTTTTATTTCTTATTACTTTACTTCCTTCAAACTGAAAAAATGACCACAATTCAATGCCTAGGAACAACAAAGTCTTTGAACTTCAACTAGAAACGAAAATGGTGAAATGTCTCAAGTGGGAGAATTTATTTCTTCTAATAACGACTTTCACTTTTGTCTTTATATATTGATAAGTTGGTCTTTCTCACCTATACATCTTTCACTCTTATAAATTATAAATTGAACCCTTTTTAAGACGTATATTTTTGGGTGTCAAAATATTATTTTGTTTACAAACGTCCAAGCTTATAAGACCTCCGTATTCAAAGCCCTCCGTATTCAAAGCCGGATGAGTATTTAATCTTGCATCAAAGATGAAGAGTATTATTTATATTTTTTATGTATAATAATAAGGTATTTTCTATGCTTTTTACTTAATTAGGGAGCTAGCCAATACATTGATTTAGACTTGAAAATGGAAGAAATGCAGGGAAAATTGAATAGTAATAAAATCTTCTTTCATTTTCACTCATAATTTTCTTCAAATAATTTAGTAGTTATTCAAATGATAAGATAATTTTCTGGTATACATCACGTGAGTCACTCGCATATATTTTAACCTATTAACATGCAAACTAATACTAATAATTAAATATCGAATTTATTTAAACAAATTTCTACATAAATATTTATTAAAAAAAATAACTAAGTTCTTTATAAACTAATTGTTTTCTACACATAACTTAATTTATACAAGTTCTATTTTAACGTCGTAAAAAAATAATTTTTAGATGAACGTTGAGCTTACCACTGCACAAGAGTGAAGTGAGGCCATTCCATGTCAACGCGGAACGTATCACTGCTGGCCAAAATGGGGCAACAAAGGGTGACCAATCTGCTGACTTGATATCCTACATATTTTCCAACCACGCATATTATAGTATTTATTATAAGTTGCAGCTGCACAACATGTGTGTATTTTTATGTACAACTTGCAATGAGTAAAGAACAAAATAAATTTCAAATTATGGAAGAAATTAAGCTAAGTAACCTACTGCACTTAACTAAGTGTTGAGTACCTGGAGTGACTGGGATTTGAGCAATTTGAGATAATCAGCAGCTGAGCACCAGGCTGGAAGATAATATGCATCACAAATCTTCTTCAGTAGATCTTGCTCCCATGGTTGTAGGGACTGTTCGTCAGGGCCAAGATCCCTGTGGCACCATGTTACTATTATTATGGTGCCACCAGGTGCTGCTACCCGAGCTAACTCTCCAACAAACTGTCAGTTCCATGTGTCGTGTGTGAAGCAGAAAACTGAGATGAGATTAACAGCGTACATAATACAAACAAACATTAATTCTAATGCAGGTTAAGGCATTACAATGATGTTTAATCAGTTGTTAGAAGTAAACTTCATCCATGAAAGCAATCATGAAGTAATACGTAGTGCAAGAGAAATTAATTGAAACCTTAGTTTTGTCAGGCATATGCTCTCCACTCTCCATGGACCACACCAGATCAAACTGCTCATCAGGGAATGGTTGCTCCAAAGCGTCAGCAACCTGAAAAGAAACCTGCAATCACAGAAACATGGAAACAAATATTTTATATTATATTATATTAGCTACATGTGCATAGATTCTATAGAAGTTATAAAAAACTTGGATAATTGTGTAAAATAGATCCAAAAGCAACAAATGTCGAGAAATTAAGACCTTGTCAGCCAATCCTTGAGCTGCAGCAAGATCATTGGCTCTTTGAGCTTGAACAGGACTGAGAGTGATGCCAACGCTGTTTGCCCCAAATTTCTTGGCCAAGTACCTGGAGCTGCCCCCTATGCCACACCCAACATCAACTATACTCTTGGGCCATTTCGTACGCTCCTCTGACCATTCCACAACAAAATCAAAGCAACAGTCCTTAAGATATATACTGGTAGTGATATTTTCTCACCACTATTCATTTCACAGATCTAATTAACAACGCATTTTATTAATAAAATTATAAATATAAATTTTAATTATTATAAAATTAATAAAAATAATTGTTGTTTAGATCTTTGTATAATAAGAATTATTAATCTATATTTTTATATATAGAATTTATAATCCAAATTACTATAATTGTTATTAAATTATTGTTTCCATAAACACTGTTATTCACAAAATAAAAGTAACTTATACCAAATTAAAAATATAATATTTGGAGAAATTAGTATAAAAAATTACATATTAATTTATATATAAATTAATTTTTACTTCTGAACCAACTTATTTTATTTTCTTGTTCTTAATAATAGGAAAGTTCATTTAAACCCACACATACAACTAACAACAAAATATTAATTGTATGTTTACAAGGAATAAAAGAATTATGTGTTATTGTTAGGAGAGTCAAAATAAGTGTCCTTTAATAGGCGTCGGAGAGGTAAAAAAAAAAAGGGTGACCACATTATTTATTCCCTAAATAAAATCAGGTTAATTTTGATTTTATTTACTTAAGTCAGGTCTAAGACTTAAGTCAAATCAGGTTTATAAATTTTTGAGTTGATTGGTTTTATAAAATATTAATTATTATTATAATAAAATAAAAATAATATTATTTTATTAGGAAATATATATATATATATATATATATATAATAAATTATTTTGATAATATATTTTGTTATATCACTATAAGAAAAATTAATTTTTTCAATGGATAAAATTTATCGGGAAATACATCACAAAAATTTGTCAAAAATCACGAATTTGAAAAATCCGCCAATAAGTAGATATTTTATAATTTTTTTAAAAATTTCAATTATTATTCGATTAAAAAAAATTATTTATTTATTAATACACTCTATTTATTATTTGAAAAGTCTGTTAGTAGGTAGATATTTTATAAATTTTTTAAAAATTTATATTATTATTTGATTAAGAAAATTTATTTGTTTATTAATATCCTCTATTTATCTAGACGTCTTCTTTCCTTTATTTATTACTTTTAACCTAATACCTTAAAATTGAAAATTGATATTTCGACCACTAAACTACTATAATTTTCTAATAATAATTTACAAATAAATTATATTTATATACAAATAAATATATATCCGTGTAAATAAATAAATATAAATATATTTATATAAAATAATTTTTTTAAGGTGAAATGTGTGTCGAGTGAGTTTTCAAAATTTTGATGTCAAATTTATGAGTAAGTCTCTTTATATGGGTTTATATTTAATGATAGAATATAATTTTTATAATTTATTTATATAATGATATAAAATAATTATTTTTATTTTTTATTTTTACTTTATTTTCATTTATTCTTTTTATCTTTTTTTCTTCTATTATTTAATTAAAATTCTTATATTAAAATAATTTTTTCAATATTAAAAATACTTAAAAGTTTATTTTTAAAATTATTTAATTTAACAAATTATTATAAATTAATCTAATTATGATAAAATCAAATTATTAAATAAAAAAGTATTTAGTTTTTTAATTATGTGAATAATTAATTTATTAGAATATATTTAAAATTAAGTAATTGTTATATAATTTTAAATATTTATTTTTTTTAATTTAATGTTGATTTTTAAAAATATACTTTATATCATCGTTGTAATTAACTGTTAATTTAACGACGGATATATCCGTTGATAATTAATTGTTTATTTACCAAAATTATTAATTTACTTGATCGGATATATCATCGATAATTAATTGTTCATTTATCAACAGATTTATTGACGGATATATCCGTCGATAAATAATTGTTCATTTACCAACAAAATTACGAGATGGATATATTCGTCAATAAGACCAAATTTTACAATTATTTAAATATGTCGATAATTAATTATTTTCTTATGACTATATATCGTCATTAATTAATAATTTTTTTGTTATATATATATATATATATATATATAATTTAAAAATAATAATAAACTTTAAATATAAAGTTTATTTGTTTTGGTCATCTTCTTATATGTTTATGTTGTAACATTTGTTTTAAATGATTAATCATTTAAGATGATATATTATTAAATATAATATATTTACAAAATATTACTAAATACATTGTAAATATGATCTTTAATTTAATTATATTGAGTATGAGAAAGTTTAAAAGATAAATAAAATTTTAAATCCTGCTTTTAAATTAATTACTATAAATATTTTTATTAGATATGTTTATCATGTGTATTTAATATAAAAAAAATTAAATATAATATTTTTAATAAAATATGTTTAATCTCTAATATATAAACAAATATAACTTAATACTACTGTTAGATCATTTATATGATTTTGAATAATAAAAATTTTGTAAGATGATATTTTATGACTTTATTTTACCTATATAATTTAAAAGATTATATAAATAAAAAATTATTTTAATTAAATTAAAAATGGTTCATTCATCCGTTAAATTTCAATCATGATCTTACTTTGCTCATTTCTTATCTGCAATTTCAATCACAACCAAACAAAATATAAAAAGAGGACACGAGGAAAACAAGTAAATGAAAGTAGCCGCCGACTCAGTTTTAATTCAGAGAAAAAGATTTGTAAGACTTCATGAAGCAAAATCCATGATAAATAATATTTATGGAAACTAGAACAGTGGTTGAGGAAGACAGTGAAGTAGAAACTAAAAATGATTATAATAACTGGTGTGGAAGAAGAAGAAGAATACCAGAAAGAGAGGCAAAACGAAGCGACTCTTGGATCATTCGGATCTGAGCAGCGCGGTGATCGGTAACAGAAACGGTGGAATCAGGGTGGTAGAAGCCGTGGTGCATGTGATCGCCCCAAATGTTCTCCCATAGGGTGGAGGACCCGTCGTAGAACTCAGCTATCCCCTTCTGCAGTTTCTCCTTCTCTTTCTGCTGCTCCATTTGGTAGCTGTAGCGAGTACTTATCTCATGTCATCTTTTTATAGTCAGATCTGACTACTCACTCTTCCTATACCTCACGCTTATTCAAACAGTAACCAAACACTCACAATACACTTTTTAACAGCATTTAAAATAATAGTAATAATAATAAAATATATTTTTATGTAATATAATTAAAATATTATGTACTGTTGTTATTATGTTTCAAATATTATCTATTTTAAATTTCTTAAAAAAAATACCTAAGTGAAGAAACAAAATGTGTTTAAAATTAGGTGTGACAGGAAAAGTTCAAATATTTGGGGAGATTTAAAACAAATTTAATAATGAGACTTTTTATTTAATAATAAAATAATTTATACTAAAATGTATCATAATTTTATTTTTTAAATTTTTTTGTTATGTAAAATTATTTATTAAATTATCATAATTAATTTTTTTTAATATTTCTTTTTTAACAGATAATAATGTCAATCCATTTAATATTTATTGAGACATGGTTGATATTAAATATTTTTTTTATTTTTTATTTAAAAAAATCCTTTTAGCTGAATCAACTAATACTATAATTGTTAACATTATTCTATAAGTTATATATGCATTTGGAAAAGAATTTTTTTTTTTATATAATTAAGAATGTGAATTGGTTTATCATTTTTCAATCCTATAATTTCTTTTAAGATATTTAATTATGAAAATAAATCTAATCCATTAAAATTCAACAAATGATCATGTTTCAAATATTTTTCAAGGTTTAAGCATTTTCTTTCAAAAGTATATAGTATAATGATTTTAATTTTTTAACACTAAATAAAAAATCAAAAATATCTTCATATATTTTAAATTGTTTAAATATACTTTGAAGCATAATAATTGTTTTATCTACAATGTACAAAAAGTAATCAATTCTAAATTATTTTTAAAAAAATTTACAATTTCATTATCAACATTTTCATTAAATTGTTTCTTTCTACGACTAATATGTTTTTTTACGAAACTTAGGCTCTATATCTATTTCAAAAACAATTTCCTTAATAGAAATCAATACATTTTCAAATTCATTTTTTCTATACTTTTCAAAAAATGAGAGGAGACATTTTAATTGTTCAATAGTTTCATCAATGCACATATCTTTTGATTGTAAATTCTTACTAACTGAGTTAACGGTAAATAAAATGTCATATCAAATATTCGTGCCTAACAAAAATTCAAAATTTTCTAATTCATTAGTTGCTAACACAATCAGTTTTATTTTTTATTTTAGGATCATCACTAGTTTTAGCTAATTCAAAAAAAGCATATCTTATTTGTGAAGTTTGAAATCTTACAGACTTTCACGCTTTTAATATGGTTTTCCCAACGTGTTTGTGACAACGATTTAAGAGTTAAGTTATGTATATAGTCTTGTAAAAAATTTAACCTTGAAAGAGATACTATCAGAGTATCATACTCTACAATCATTTTTAAATTTTAATTTTTTATCTGATATGACGCACTGTCGCACTGTAAAGAAAGAAATATCAAATAGTTTCTTACTTGAGTTGCGTTGTTTCCTTCTATCCCTTAAAATTAGTGAAATCGAAACACACACAAACAAAACGCCAACAACCAATTCAAGTACACAACATATAAGAATGACTCATATGAGAAATTAAAATTATTGAGTCATTAACTAATGTGTTATGTATATATATATTAAACACTTAAATTGAGTAGCCTGAAAAGTAAAAAAAATTATAAAATGAGAACTAAAAAGTCAAGTAAAGAAAGAAGAGAAGATAAAAATTAAAATTAATTAGTAAAAGAGTAGAAATAAAAAAAGAAAAACATGTACACTTCTTTAACTATTAATATTAACTAACCAATTTTTTCTCTGAAAAAAATTATGATTTATTAAACAATTGTTAAAAATAATATTAATATTAAAAAAGAAAAGTGGGAGGCTTTTTTGTAAGGGACTAAAGCAAGGGTTTTAATTGCTTAGGTTTTGAATAAGCTATGATGCGACGTCGTAAGCGAACTCGTGTGATATTCATATATTTTATTTATTTGATTACATTTTTTATTATTATATTTAAATAAATAATTAAATTTGTGTAACATGTACTGTAAAAAGATTCCATTTAATAAATAAATATAATATGATTAGAATTCTCAGCTACGTCAAATTTTAAATAACGTGTGGAATTTTTTTAACATATATTTATAGATGATCTTTAAATTTTCATACATAAATATACATATAATTTAATTGTCATAAAACATAAAATTTATTTAATAATAATTAACAATTAGTAACATAATTAATAATATATAAAAATTAATTATTTTTTTAATATATATATACTATTACGTTATTAGTTAACATTTTTAATTTTTAGGTAGTAAAATTAAAAGTCGTCACAAAGAACAATTTTTATTTTTATTTTTTCAAAACGAATTTTGAATTAGAGACTAAAAACATATATTTGAAAAAAAATAGTAAAAATATTGTAATTTGTAAATTAATTCATTTATGTTTATTAAAGAATGTACCATTCTTATGAATTGAGATTCCTGAGATATAAATAGATTTTATGATGGGTAAAGAATGTGATGTAAGAAGCATTAGAATGTAAACTTGGACGAATGGATTTTTAAAATGGCTGTAAACAAGTTATTTTTGTTAATATAATAATTTATTAAATGATTTAATAAAAAGAATTAAAATTATTATTATAATATTAAAATAGAGTTATGTATAAGAGTGGTATGGATTTGATTCGTCAAATTATCATTTTCTTTTTTTATAAAGACATTTTTATTAATGTAATCAAAAGATGTTTATGAAGATTAAGTTTGTGTTTGTTATTTTCTCATAACTGTATTTTGTGTTGCATGTTCAAAATGGTTTAAATATATTTTTAATTTTTAAAAATTTATCATATTTTATCACCATTAATAGTTAATTTAATATTAAAATATAAAATTATTCATTAGTATAATTAAGATAATTATTATATCATTTTAGACTCATGATCTAATTAATATAATTTAATTAAGTAATATATTAGTAATTACATATCTATTATTTTTACATTTTAAAATTCAATAATTTACTTTTAATAAATTATTTGTATTTAATAAAAAATTATAAATTATTTTCTATATATTAGTTTTGATATAATAACATTAGATCATTATAAAATACATTTTTAATATATCATAAATATGAATTTTATCTCTAAAAGAAAAAATATATATTTTATAATTAATATTTATAAAATATTTTAGAACAAATTTTATAAAAGATTAGAAAAATGTCTTGTTACATTAATTATTGGAAACAGTATCTTTTCCTCATCACAAGCAAGAACTTCCGTGCTATCGTTAATTTGTTAAGAATAATTAGTATTTTTACATTTTAAAATTCAATAATTTACTTTTAATAAATTATTTTTATTTAATAAAAACTTAAAATTTATTTTCTATATATTAGTTTTGATATAATAACATTGGATCATTATAAAATATATTTTTAATATATCATAAATATGAATTTTATCTCTAAAAGATAATATATATATATATATATATATATATATATATATATATAATATTTATAAAATATTTTAAGATTAGAACATGTCTTGTTACATTAATTACTGTAAACAGTATGTTTTCCTTATCACAAGCAAGAACTTCGGTGCTATCATTAATTTGTTAGGAATAGTTAATAAAGTTGGATTAGAAATAAAGAGAAATATTTTATTATATATTTTATATATAAATCATTTAAAAATTATTTTTTTAATTTAAAATATATTATAATTTTTATGATGCAAGTACTGCTTATTCAAATATATAATAACCAACTAAATTATTGTTTTAAAAAAATAAAAAATACACATATTTTATATGATTGGTAAGTATTTGGTGAGAATATTCTGATTCTCAATTATATCTTTAGTATCAATTCTCGGATACATTAATTTATTAACTTTTATATTTAAAGTATTATTTATTATAATTTTACCTTTTTGAAAAATATGTAAATAAGTTAAAAGAAATAATATATATAAATTATTTTTAACAACGATCAATAATAAATATCTATTTTTATTTTATTTTAAAATATGTAGTTGTATGATTAAAACACGATTTTTATAATTATAATTTTTTATTTTAAAAGATATATATTATATTTCTACTTTATAATATAATATTTTATATATATATATATATATATATATATATATATATTATAAGAGAATTATTTCGATTTTTCATTTTTTTAGATCTGATAATTACTCTAGTATTTTTAATGTATGATTGTAATTAATTTGATAACTATAGTCGAGCATTATTGTAACTTTGAACCACATTTATTTTATAAGTCCTTCTTATTTTTTCTTGTTCAAGTTAGACTTTTGAATAAGGAATTAAAAAGAATTATTATTATTACATTATTATTATTATTTAATCGATTTCTTGTTTTTTCTTGTTCAAGTTAGACTTTTGTAACTTAGTGTTTTATCGATTTCTTACGTGTTAATTATATTCTACTTATCAATTATTTTTTATAATCTAATAATTAATACAAATTATTTTTAAACTATTGATTATTTCTCACAGAATTTTGTAAGAAATTATTATTATTATTTTTTAATTTGCTTATATAAAGATCTGAAGTGAGGTCATGTTTGCTTGGCTGACACGTGGAAACTTTTTTCTCATGCATAAACAACTCATTTCCGTCTTGTGTTTACGTACACCGAATTTATTTGCCAACAGACGTATGTTAAATGTGTTTTTTATTTTTATAAAATTTTAAAGATATTATAAAAGTAGTATTATATTATTTCTTTAAAATGTTAACATATTTTGAAGTCGTTATTAATAATGATGACGGAAAAATTTTATAAGATGATGCTTTTCCTACTTAAATTTTACTATTAAATTGATTTTTTTATGTATGATTAATGTTAAAATTATCATTTATAAAAAAATTTCATATACCAGGATTTAACAATATATTTAATAATCTTAGAAAGAGGAAAACAATACAAAATATTTGTACAACACCAACAATAGTAAAGACATAAAGAATTTAAATATTTTTATAAAATTAAAAAAAGTAATATAAGCACTTGAATGCTTATTTTTAATTTATAGTCTGAATATCATTTAAGATAATTTTAGGAGAGACTAGTAAAATTTCTCTTTGGAGAGGAATTTGAAGTTTTAATATTTATCTATGTTTTTGGTAGGTTTTATTAAATTTAGAAAAAAGTTTACAAGTAATTCTTTATTTTTTTATAATTTAATTTATAAATGTTTTTGAACAAATTATGTATTAAGTTATATTTTAATCCAAACAATATAAAAATAAGTAATAATAATAATAAATGAATTTCAAATAAAAGTTAATTATCATATTTCTAGATAAATATGTAGTTTTTATTTATTTGTTTATTATTATTATTATTTGAATATTAAAATTTTTATTATATTTTTTAAGTTAAAAATTGAAATAACTATACATAACTTTTATAACGATCTTAGAAATCGCTACTATAATGCTACATTCGCAAAATAGTAAACAAATAAATAACATTTATATTACATTATATTATCGTAATGGTAATATAGACTGAAATCTCTATTCATTGACTGAACCTCAAAAACATAGTAACATGATTTATTTATATAGATACATGCAAAAGTAGTTCTCACTAAACTATATCTCTGTTGTCCAGTAGTCGCATCTCCACCTTTCAACTCCTGATCTGCTCCCACATCAAAGTGATCATCGCAATCTCATCCACATGGAAAAATAAGGGTAAATATTAAATCATGTAATATAATAAAACATATATAGTTACATATTATCATCAATTACAAATCATCAATACCTTAAGACGCCTTCCGGAAGTATACCCTAACTATGCCCGAACTCAGAGGTTATCATCTGTGCACACATTGTGGTTGACACTCACAGTACCATTCTGACCACCCTTCACACATAGTGGGATTACTGACGCCCTTCATCACTCATTCTGAAGTACCCCTCCGAGCGCGCCACCAGTCATCCCCCATCGACTTCTCACCACCTGATCTCGTAGTCTACCTGACCCGACCAATCAGTGAAGTTCGGGACCTCATCTGAATCCTCCGACATAGTTAGTACACTAATATACTCTGTACCACCTTGGGTACCATTCAAATACAATAACAATCATTCATATCTGCCAGATTCTGGATCATATGTCATCACGGTTCATTCGGATAAATAAATAATAGTACTTGACTGATTCTGGGTACCAACCCTCCGGCTCAGTCTAGCAATACATAACATCTCATGACTCGATTCGGGCATCGACCCTCGAGTTCGATCGACCCACACATGTCACAACACACTGCTGAATCTTTAAAATTTATAATTTCATTATATATTTTAATTATTTTTCTTAACATACATTTACTTTATTTCTAAAATTCCAATAATACCTTTAAACATTTTCTATTATTCATTTTTCATCCCGAAATCATTAAATTACTATTTTGCCCTTAATCTTTTCTTAAAATTTCATGTATGTCCCTAAATGACTATTTTACCCTTGGACATTTTCAAAAATTTCTTCTATGTCCAAAAAATGACTATTTTACTCTTGGACATTTTCGAAAATTCTTTCTATGTCCCTAAAATGACTGTTTTACCCTTGAATATTTTCGAAAATTCCATTTATGTCTCTATGATTTAAAATAACTATTTTAACCTTGATCTTTTTCAAAAATCTCCCCATATCCCTTTCTTCAACCTCGCATCCAGTAACTGTATCAAATTTTGTAGATTTGTAATTTCTCAGTATCAGACAACCAAACTTGTTTCAAATTCAAATTAAACATGAACATGTTTAATTTAAGTCAAAAACAACAATTTTACCATATAATTCATCCTTAATTTCAAGAATTTCAAGAAAATTTCAACTTTTCAAACATACAGAAATATTTAAAATCAATTATTCAATACTTCAAATTTCCACTCTTATTCCTTATTCTTAGAGTACCCAACAATTTAATCTCATATATTGAATGAATTAAATTTCCCCTTATCTTGTGTTGTATTTCTACCGAAGGTTTTCCACTTAATCCAAACTCTCTCCAATTTCACCATATCCTGTACGAGTAGAGTATTATTTACTTAAAATTTAGACGAAAGAAGAATAAAGACGAAGAACACATGATATGGGAAGAAGAATTTCTTGCTGTAACCATTCCTCCTTCTTTGTACATATATAGAAAATTAACGTGTAGAGAAAACTTCACTACAAAATTTTTTTTGCACAATAATATTATTATAATATATATAAAAAAAAACATACTTAGCACCTTTTATGTACGTTGATTGCTTATAGGTATTTTTCATCAAAATAAAGATAAGTTTAAATGAATAGTGAAGGGTTCAAAATTAATTTTTGTCATAGCTAAAACCCATCCTTAGTTTGAAGCTCAAAGAACATAAAAGTAAATTCTGACAGATACAGTACAGAATGCCAACATACTCCAGGGGACAGAGAGAGGGTAGGAATAATGTGTAGATTTTTAGCACAGTTATTTTAAGTACAAGTACGAGGATTAAGTTATTGTATAAGAATTTCTAATATCTAAAAAAAAACAATAGAATGAATTATTTTTAAAATTTTATGTTCCAATTTTAAGAGTTAAAAAAAAACCTGAAATAATTATTATCAAAGAAAATTTTGATTGAAATTTTATATCTTAATTGGTATAAAAGATCTTTCACTAGATATGTTATTTTAGGTAATTTTTTATGAAAACATCATATGCCGAATCTGATTTGTGTCATAAATTTGAGTGGTGGATAATTTTCTTAACTTTCTTACCACACCAAGATAATTTTATATAGTTAGTACAATCAAGATATGCTATTTTAACATAATTTATTTTTCCTCATAAACCTTTTTTGTTTCCAAATTTCTCCCCCTTTTCACATTTTTATATATTTTATTTTTATTACGTAGACCAAATCAGGCATAGTAACTAGACATAAATATCAAAAAAATATTTTAAGTCACGTGATTATTAAAAAAGAAGTCAAATAATATTTTAAAAAATTTGTCACTTAGTAATTTTAATCTTAACATGGTAAAATATACAACCAAAGTAACTTATATTTCTTAATTAAGTGATTTAAAAATATTAAAAAGGAAATACACACCTTATCTATACATATCATCAATTCCATAGTCATGAAAAAAAATACTTATATATATTTCTTTCGCTAAACTATTATAGTAAAAGAGAGCTATAACTCTACACTATACAAGTATTTTATTATAAGAGTTAGGTAATGGTTTCATAATATTTTAAATAATTAATAGATTTCGATTTTTTAAATTTGATTTAATAATTTATATAAGTTATAATTTCTCACACATCAACGACAAACTTTTTTTTTAATTACCAATACACTCTTTTTAATTATTTAGCACATTTTTTAATTAATCAAAATGTATTAAAAACTACAAAATTGTGAATGTACTTTGAGTAAAGGAAAGTTATGGTAAAGAATGTATTACTTGTATTTCTCAAGTTTCAGAAGAATAATTCTTTATCTATATATTATAACACCTTTCTTTTAATTAATTTACTTTTATAAATACCCATGCTACATATTTAGTAGATTATAATAATAAGCGAACGCGAAAGGCGAGCTTAGGTTCAGATTGTAGTGCAGCTAACAATTTGATTGGGGAGAGAAGGCAGTAATCTACGTTCAAGCATGGGAACAACATTCTTTTCACAATGCCTCAACCTATAAATCTAAACGCTAAAACTTTGATTCAGATGGTATTAAACATTCAATTCAAAATATTCTAAAAATAAAAACATGACACTATGTCCAAATGGACCGGAATTAGTTTACATCTTCCCTTTAATCTCACGGTCAATGGGATTTTATCTTCGATTCTATGCATGTGTATAAAATTAACAGTGAAAAGGAAAAATAATCAAGCCCTTTCATTTATTTATTTTTTTCTCTTGTTTCTGAACTATCGCAATAATTGACCTACTCGGAACCTGTTTCATTCTGTAACAGTAATCCTGCCTCTCAACTTATTCAGGTTTTCTACACGTAATGATCGCAAACTTAATTAGATCCTTCTTGTATCCCTCTATCATCAATGGCATAGCAAAAGCTCCTTTTATCGTTTTTTGGCCTGGCCAAAAAAGTGACAAAATACAAATCAACAAGAAGTTTCTATGAAAATACAAATCAACTAGTTCAAAAAATCTAGAAATTCTGTAAGGAAATGGCAAAGTCCAACTTGGCAGCAGATAGAATATTACTTCAAAAAATAGTTCGTTCATAATAAAGTCTTTAAAGGATATACAAGTCCATTTTTTTTTTCTTCATTCTCAAGAGTGAACTAACTTGAACAATCATTCTTACATATTTTCTTATTTCGTTAGACATGTCCTGTAATTGTAAACCAACCTTTTTTACCTCTTTGATTACCATTGATTCAACACATATTTTTACCTTGTTTTATTTTAAAGTTTTTAATCAATCATAAGCGAAATGGGAATCTTTAGATATTTAAAAATCATTAATAAAATAATATTTTATCAATTAAAGCATTTTTTGAACATTTCCAAAACTATAAGTTACAGATGTCTAACTTTTTAATTTTAATATAGAAAAGTTTTTGATGAAAAAAAGTGAAGATATTTTTTTAAAGAACAAAATAAGATAGTTTTGTGATGTTTATAAGAACAAACAAAAAAGTAGGATGTTAAATTTATGTTTTTATTGTTTTATTTTAATTTTAAAATTCATAAAATTACAAATATTTTTAAAAAGATTAAAAAAATTGTCCTCCTTTTCTTTTCCCTTAGAAAATCAACTACCAAAGTGGCATAGTTAAGATGAAAGAAATATTTGATAGAAGTAAAAGGAAGGGAAATTTTCTATGAATTTCCTGGCATTTTCACTCATAGATCTGATTTAAGACTTGCGATTGAGTATAGAAATAATGATCAGCGACATAAGACATGCGATAGAAGATGGGATTTTGTTTTTGAAATGCAATATAGATGTCAAGCTTACCACTTCTCAAGAGTGAAGTGAGACCCTTCCATGTCATGGCTGAGCGTATCACAGCTGGCCAAAATGGAGCAACAAAACGAGACCAATCTTCTGACTTTATGTCCTACATATATAGCAACCATGTCAAAATACCAACACAATTAACTTGAACTGTATCTACGTAGTAATCGTATTCATATATTGATTATAATAATCTGAGTACCTGAAGTGACTGAGATTTGAGCAATTTGAGATAATCAGCAGCTGAGCACCAGGCTGGAAGATAATATGCATCACAAATCTTCTTCAGTAGATCTTGCTCCCATGGTTGTAGGGACTGTTCATCAGGGCCAAGATCCCTGTGGCACCATGTTACTATTATTATGGTGCCACCAGGTGCTGCTACCCGAGCTAACTCTCCAACAAACTGTCAGTTGCATGTGTCGTGTGTGAAGCAGAAAACTGAGATGAGATTAACAGCGTACATAATACAAACAAACATTAATTCTAATGCAGGTTAAGGCATTACAATGATGTTTAATCAGTTGTTAGAAGTAAACTTCATCCATGAAAGCAATCATGAAGTAATACGTAGTGCAAGAGAATCTAATTGAAACCTTAGTTTTGTCAGGCATATGCTCTCCACTCTCCATGGACCACACCAGATCAAACTGCTCATCAGGGAATGGTTGCTCCAAAGCGTCAGCAACCTGAAAAGAAACCTGCAATCACAGAAACATGGAAACAAATATTTTATATTATATTATATTAGCTACATGTGCATAGATTCTATAGAAGTTATAAAAAACTTGGATAATTGTGTAAAATAGATCCAAAAGCAACAAATGTCGAGAAATTAAGACCTTGTCAGCCAATCCTTGAGTTGCAGCAAGATCATTGGCTCTTTGAACTTGAACAGGACTGAGAGTGATGCCAACGCTATTTGCCCCAAATTTCTTGGCCAAGTACCTGGAGCTGCCCCCTATGCCACACCCTACATCAACTATACTCTTGGGCCATTTCGTACGCTCCTCTGACCATTCCACAATAATAACAAAATAATAGTCAGCAGTTAGTAGTTACCACTTTCAAGCCACAAAAAAACTGAAAAATATATCACTCTTATTGAAAAATCCAATTCCAAATTAGAACAATTGGTGACAGTATACCTACACCTGCGATATCAATACACACACTGTTGTATAAATCGAACACAATTTTAATGAATATTCACGATTAGAAAATCAAATGGATGTGCCGCCATTAATCATTGCAAAGATAGTGGAAGCAAGAGTGGGTTGGTGAAAAAATAATACCAGAAACAGATGCAAAACGAAGCGACTCTTCGATCATTCGGATCTGAGCAGCGCGATGATCCGAAACCGAAACGGTGGAATCCGGGTCGTAGAAGCCATGGTGCATATGGTCGCCCCAAATATCCTCCCAAATGGCAGAGGACTCGTCGTAGAACTCGGCGATTCCGTTCTGCAGTTGCTTGTCGTCCTCTCCGCGCGCTGCCAACAGCACCTCCCCTCTCTCGCTGCTGGCCGTGGAAGCCCGAATTGGAGTCCAGAACCCGGACCCGACCCGTCCTGTGGCGATGGATGTTGGTAAGTGAGGGGATTGGGTACGAAATGTGTGGATGCATGAGATTGGTGAGATGGTTGGGATGCGCGCCACCGTGGTCATGTCTCACACTCACACTCAGAGTTCCATTCACGGGTAACGCGAACGCATATTATAAAGCAACGCAAAATTCAATTGGTTGCTATCTATTGGAAATGGATGTAAAATTTGGCACTCACTCTTCTCTGCTTGTTTCCTTCCTCCATGACTCACTTTTGGAACGCGACGCCATCTTCTTGGCTGCACGTGTGGCTCCCACCTCTGGAGATATAAAACAAAAAAATGGGATTTATATATCATACTATAACTAAATAATTACATATATTAAATGTATTTTTTTAAAATAAAATTTATTATGACAAATCTTCTTTTAAGATAAGAAATCTCATTTTTTATTAGACATATAATAAAATACGAGTGAATATAAATATTTGACTCAATTTTATAAAGTTTAATTAAATGATGAATTATAAAAACATCAATAAATAATAATTTTTTGTGGTTGTAAAGTTAATTTTATTTTATTAATTATTAAATTTAAATATATTTTTATATTTTTAATAAAGTATATGAAGTTTTAATTTATGCTTTCTAATTTTTTAGTTTTTTATCATTTCAAAAATTGAAATTATTGATTTTGCTCTCTAATCTAATAAAGAAGACAATACACATAGCTGACAATTTTATTTAAACAAAATATCGTCAATTAATGTTTATGTTAGTCTGACTTTAATACTCAAGTTAAATATTTTGTGAGAAAGTTAGTATTATAAAGAAAATAATAAAATTTTATAAAAATATATATTCCAAAAATTGATATTCATTAAGATTTAAGAAAAATTGAAAAAAAGGATAAAATCTAACCAAAATTTGAAGAAGAATGTACTACCGTTCGAGAGATATAATTAAAATTTAAGTATGAGATGAAATTTTAACCTTTATAAAATAGACAAAAATTGAGAAATATATAAAGTTGAATAATACACAAAACTTTAAAATTTAGAATTAAATAGCTGTTTTAAATTATTGTTATTTATGTTTGTTTAGTAGTCCCTTTCACTGTATCAGTCTCCATAATCAGCAAATTTATTTTGCCTAATTTTCTTGTCGTTTATTTTGTTTTGGCAATTTCTAAACCTCCAAAAGAATAATGCAACAAGAAATTAATATCGTATTCAATGAAATGAAGGAAAAGTGGTATAGTTTGGTCTATTTGTTCTTTTTTTAGTTTTGAATCCTTATCATTAAGTAGAAAACAGTTCAGAATCCTTTGTCTCTGTCCTTCTTAAATTTGAGTTTTTATTGGCAAATTAATTCTAACAAGCAACAACACTAAACACATTAACTGGTTCAGGTCAGCGTCCTGATTAAGATATTGTCAAATTTTCAAATTCCATTCAATATATACAGAATTTTTTACTTTTGTCTGTTTGAGTTGCATCTACTCGCGTGATGGACCACATAATATTGATATGGAGTTTTAATGTCATGCGTTATCAAAATAGTTTACACAATTATTTAATTATAATTTTTATGCAGTTATTTTAAAAAAAATTATCTTCTTGTGATTAGATAACATTTTACAGTAATCTAACGTGATAATATAAAATTTATTTTCTATTTGATTTTTTGTAGTTTTAAAATTATTTTTTATTGGTTAAACTGAGCCAGAATAAGTGAAACCTAAGCTAGTATTTTGAGAACTCGATTTGATTGATATTTCCTTTTCTAGAGTACTTTAGTTTTCAAAAGCTTGTCTCTTTCATTTGTTTTTAAAAAAAGACTTTTTACATTATTTATTTAATTTTCTAAACACATCATTATTCGTTATTTTCCCTAAATATTATTAATGAATGCTCATTCCCAAAATTTAATATATTATATTTTTGAAAATCTATTTGTGTAAATGTTTTGTTATTTTTTTTATTAAAAGTAAAATAGAGAGCAAATAAAAATAAAAAATAAATTCAGAAATATGTATTGTTTGAATAGATAAAAATTAAAGAAAAGGTGAATTTTGTTCTATCTTTTGTTTGGATGAGTGGAAAAGTGAGAGAGAAAGTAAATCAATAAAAAAATTTCATTCTATCCTTAAAAAATTGATATTATATTATAAATATTAAGATTGTAAACAATAATTCGAACATAATTTTCATTCCAAATACGTGAAAGAAAATATAATGTGATTGGTTATCCATAATTGATGTTGAATAAAGTAATATAAATATTATTTAAAATGTAAAATATTTCGAAAACTCATTCATGAGTCCTATATTTATACTGAGGATAGTTTATATATATATAATTTTATTTTCAGTTTCAAAAAGTATTTTTAAATATAAAATCTTGATGTATTATATTTTTTAAATATTAACAACTCAAACGTGATAATTAATCATAAAGAATAATTATATATATAATTCTATTTTAAAATTATTTGTTAAATTATAAAGGAAAATTGCTATTGTCTTCAAATTTTAATACCGGATTTTATACATTGAGTATGCAAGAATGAATAAAGACATTTTAATACTTAAATAAGTATTATTATGAAAATAAAATAAAATATAATATAATATAATATAAATAAATAAATAATAAAAATATAAATACAAAAATTAGAGTTATTTTATTTATATAATATTTTTATTAAACTATTCTAAATAATAAATAATATATCTTTAAAGCTTCTCCATTATTCTGTTTATAAAGATTTTCATATTTTCACTAATATTTTTAAATTTATTTTTATTAATATTTACTATTTAATATTTGAATAAGATTATTGCTTAATAATTCACATATTAAACCAAATAATAAAATTATTAACATAATTTTTATATTCAAATAAATATTAAAAATTGTCAATCAATCAAGAAGACACATGTTTTAGTCGACTGGACACTTAGTAACTAAACATGAAATATGGTTTTATCCTCTTTCTCAAACAAAATTCTTATTACTATTTTTCATTTTATTTTTGTACTTATTTTTTACTCATTTATTAGTAGTAAAAAATAATAGAAGAGGATAATTTTTAATAATAGTATATAAATTATCATTTAAAAAAATGATATTTTTAAAATTATTTTTATTTTTAATAATATTGGTAAGATGATAATTTTTTTATAATTGTAAGATTATAAAAACATTAAGTATTATATGTATAATTTTTTAATAATAATTTATTTATAATTATTCTAATATGTTAAATAAGACTACGATTTTAACATGTATGGAATATATAACGATAATTGTACTTATAAACTATCATAGTATGTTTTATTATATTTCTCTTTTATAATCTAATTTTTTATTTATTTTTCTCTCATTTTTTTCTCTTTTAGCTCTCCTCTTAAATTAGTCGATCACGTAGTTATATCACAAGTTCGCATCTTTTCTCACATTTTCTCGTCTCATTCAATTATTATTTTTTTTAGTAATTCATGTATAAGTTTAAGTTTCACGTTAAATAAAATGAGAAAATTGAATAACATAAAAAAAACAATCTCATAACTTAATATTTTAAAATTTTTGATTAAAAATAATGTCAAATCTTTTATATAAATTGAACTCATATTTCATTAATATTTTCTGTCATTAGTAAATTCTTCTAAACAATCCTAATTTTTTTTTCTGAACATTCTTTGTCACAAATTTTGTTAACGTGTAAAACGAGTAAGATAGAAAACTAAATTTATTATGGAGGAAGGATATCTATTAGGAATATGTATTACACGTAATAGATATGTTATAAGAAAACTAAATTTGTGACAGAAAATAGGACAACAATTATATTTATAATAATGTCATTTTAATAACATATTAAAACCATAATTAATTTCACAACTTTGATGGATTGTAATAATAATAATAATTATTATTATTATAAAATCCTCGTTAGATATTTTTTAACCGTGATAAATAAACTGTAGTGTAGTCTATCAATCTTCTTCTTCTTCCAACTTTACTTTTTTTAGATGAATTGATAGGATTGATATACATTTGTTAGTTTTAAAAATTGAAACCATGTGGAACCCACCTCAACATGGGAACATGTGACTCACGTGCAAAAAAATTCCAGAAGCTATGTATTATATTTTTACTTTCGAAAATTTGTTAAAATTGATCCTTTTCAGCGGTAAAATAAATTTGATGATCTAATTTAGTTTATATTTTAAAATAAGTTAAAAGTTTTAATCTAATTTAACATTAGATCAATCGATAAATTTTGGTCTTATTGAAATTAAAAAATATATTAATAAATTTATATTAAATTAATTAATTCATAAAATATTTAAATAAAAAAATAAAATATAATTTTTAAATTTATTAATAAAAATAATTTTTATTATACTAAATTAATTAATTAATAAAATATTTAAATAAAAAAATATTTTAAAATTTATTAATAAAATTAATTTTTATTTACAATATAATGATTTAATATACAAATGATAAGAGAATAAATATATTTAATTAAAAAAATTATTTTTTATTATTTTTTAATAATTTATTAATTTAAAATAATAATTAATCTTAATTATTAGATATTAAAATAAATGAGTGTTAAAGATTTATTTTAATATTTATTCTTATAATAAGTGAATATATTTGTAATAAAATAGTATTATTTTTATTTTTATTTTAAAAATAATAATATTTTGTAAAATGAGTTAATCCAAAAGTTTATGAGGTAATTTGACTTAAATATATGTAGACTATAATCTAAATAAGTAAGATAAAAATAGGTTAAATTAAAATAAGTTTTATTTAAATTAGATTATTAATTTTTTTATTGATCTAACTATTTTTCAGTTTTTTTTTTAAATTGATAAATGAAACTAAACCTATTTTAACACTAAAATAATATTTAACAAAATAGGAACTTTAAATAATTTATTTCAATTAGATTTTGATATATATTAAGCTTTTTAATGATTTCTATATCTTACCCTCTTTTCTCTTATACTATCTAAAACATGGTAAAACTTGTTATTATTTATTTACACATGATAAATAATATAAAAAAATATTTTGTTGAAAAAATAAAAGCATAATAG